CACAAAATAGCTCAACAACATTTCAAAATCAATACATGAAAACACATCATGCATATAAACCATTCCCCCATGGGGTATGGTGGAACCAACAATGGCTAAATCGAGGACACGAAAGCTTACCTCTTAAGCAATCAATCCAAGCCAAGTCCACACAAGCTCAATGTCACCAAACAGCACAATCACAGTCTGTTTATACAATAAATAATCATCAATAATCATTGCCCAAGGTTCCATTAAGTGATTAAAGCTTTCCAACTCATTTTAAGTGATTTAAGACTAAATCTGCAGGAGGTATTCAAATACTCCTCGATGAGTATTTGAATACTCCAATTCTCCAGAAAGTATCCGCAGACTTTCACTTAAGTATCCAAATACCACAAGGTATCCGAATATAATTTCCACAGTATCCGAATACTGATCAGTGTTCGAATACTTCTACTAAGGTATCCGAATACTTTTCTTCCCAGAAAGTATCCCAATACTCCTTCAAGGAGTATCCGATTACCTGCTGATGAGTATTCGAATACAATGCGAAAAGTATTTGAATACTTATCAGACAGAATGTAGAAACTCGAGCTATTCACTGCATGATCCCATTTTAACTGTCCTAAAGCGATTTGGAGTCCGATAACTCTGTAAACAGATGTTCATTATCATATTTTAGACTTAGATTATCGGTCCTTAACTCAAATGATCAAAGTTTCCCTTTTTAATAGATTAAACAAGCTCAAATCATGAAAATACCAAAGAAGTGATCATGGTATACCTCAAGTGTCTCAAACTCAGAAAAAGAGAGTGACTTGGAGCTTCCAACACAGCTCCAAGGTTCTGACTTTGCAAGAGCACGAAAATGCACTACAAGCTTGGACCTTTCACCATCAAAATGACTTCTTGAAGCCTTCAATGGTATGGACAAGGCTCTCACAACCCCAAAACCAAGTGGACAGCCCCAACCACACTCAACAGCAGCTTAATCCTCAGAAATCCAACACCTCACTCACTCACAATGCTCACTAACTCAGTGTTTACAACTTCAATAAGGAAGAATCAAAGAAAATGCGAGACATTGGGGAGTTTCTATGGAGGAAAGCTCAAGTTTTTGAAAGGGGAAGAGGGGTGGCAAGGGGAGGCAGCAGCTGAAGATCAGAAAAGTCACGTAGGAAGCCAATATGGCCTAGGGTTTTGGGCCAAATGGGTATTTATAGCCTGTTTAAATTTAACACCCTGTATTAGCACTAATAGCTACGCTTATCATTTTAATCTCAAACTTTGGATTCTGAACCTAGTCATTTTTCTAGGATTTGTCATATTTTTATTTTATTTTTCGCAGCACTTTGTCGGTACGTGCTTGTACATAGCCGGTATCAGTTCTGACACCAATTCTCATTATTTTGACTTGAAACTTGTTATGCTAGTTCTATATATTATTCTAGTGACATATACATACTTTTCATAATTTTCCGGGATACTTCATCGATACGCATTTATACTGTGAGGCAGAACCGGTATCTTTTTCGTCAGAAAAACGACTTTTAACATTATTAATCACTTACCATAATTATTAAAGCCTTCTCATAATTATTAGGGTCAATTATGGAATTATTTCCTAATTTCACATAATTAATTAATTAAATTCCTAAATTAACGGTGTGAATTCTTACACATACCCTCACATAAGGCAGCTATATGCTCCGAGCCTTAAGATTTCTTAAAACTAGCCGATTAAATGCTTAAGATTCTCTTGATCTGAGATTAAACAAATAGAGCCAGTTGATCCAAAAATAATACAATTAAATCAAACAGACTCTATAACCTATATTCAATTTGACAACAAAAAGTTATAAAGAAAGTAAGCACCTTTATGTGCAAAATAACAAAATACAGTCCTACTCGCTTAAAAATTCAAGCATACACAAATTGATATTGCTCTAAAAGTAAATGAGTATGCAAGAATAATGATACCAATAAATGCTAAGAATGAATTAATAAATTTATGTCAAATAAGCACTTAAGGAAAATATTAAGTTTTGGTCAATATAATATTTTTTTTATGAATATGCGAGAAGGATTAATGACCAAATTTTACAACGATTGAATATGTCAAAAAATAATAATTCTTACTAAAGCAGCTAGTTAGAGTATACACCAATAAAAATCAAATGTGTAGAACAATGACGAAGGACAATAATTTCTATTTTTTTAAAGGGATAGGTTATTCTACCTACCATTTTTTCTGCCTATCTTTGTCTACCACTCTAAAACACCATTAGATCAGAATCTTAATTAACATTTATCTTTCTCTCTCTTCTTGAGATTCTGATCTAACGGTTTTGGAGGGTGGTGGGAAAAGGTAGGCAGAAAAAATGGTAAGTAGAATAACCTATCCATTTTTTAAAATTGATCAACGATTATATAACAACAATTAATGAAAATATGCTTCAAAGAATCATACACATTCTCGGTCAATATTCAGCAAAGAGATTTCAAGAAGACTCAAGAATGGGTTCAAGAATTTCTTACAAGAATTCAAGCTTTCTACAAAAAAATAAAATGTGAACATTTAGATTTTAGGAACCCTTGCTTAGAGTCCTACGAAAAACCACAACACCAAATTGATGTTTCAGAAATCTTTCACAAGATCTTAAGTATTCAAGCTTAGGTCACCGTCAATATCAATCTCCTTCAGCACTTCACAATACATTTTTCTTAACCCTCTCACAATAACAATTTTCTATCAATCTTTTTTTTTTTCACGATGAAATTCCTCAATTTTCAATATTTAAAATTTGGAATCTTGGAGTTCTGTTGAAAAATAAGTTTCAACAATGTATATGTTTCATGAAGGAAAAATATTTTTATTTTTATTTTGTAAAGGTCGTTCCTTGGTCAAAAAAGATAAAGAGCAATTTTGAAAAATTTGTGTAAAAAGAAACAAAATCGAAATTTTGCATATATGAAAAGTGACGGGTTGCTTATATATATCAGGTAATAGCTTAAAGAAAAAAATTAAGAAAAAGGAAAGAAGATATTTTTGGTAAACTAGAGTAATATGCTTATTGAATTAATGGAGGGGAAAATTTAAGCAACTAAATATATTGTATTCATTAAGTGACTTGAAAATTGAAGATGATTGAATAAAATAAAATAAAAATTTTGCAAATAATTTGAAAATAATTCTGATTTTGTGTTGATATAAATAGTAAAGAAAATGAATGATATTGATTATGATTTTGAAAATTAAAAATTATTGAATAAATAAAGAAATTATAATAAAAGAACTTTGAATATATATAATGCGGATTTTTTGAGATTTGATAAAAACTTATTTTAATGGCTGAAGGCAACTATCCGACACTGACACGGGACACGAGATACGGCACGACACGACACTCTGACATGTTAATTCTAAAATATGTTAAATTTTGACAAGTTAGGACACATTTTGATATTATATAATACTTTTTAATTTATGTAGTGTATATTATATTTAGTATTCAATAATTTAACAAAAAAATAAAGCTAAACTTATAATACCCATCAATTTTGCAAAGAAACATAATATATCCCAAATGTTTATATTAAACTCAATAAAATCGTAATCGTAATATAATGAATCTAATAGTTGAAACTCAAAATGTAACGCCACGTAACTTTTGAACCTTTTTTGAGTCTCTGCAACAAGTATTGGAATGTCGGGAAGTGTCGGAATATCGATGAGTGTTGGGAAGTGTCGGACACGACACGTTAGGATTTTTGAAATATCAGCGCTTCATATAGGATGGCAATAATAAGAGCATTTTAATTTAATTTAATTTTATTGTTATTTTTATCTATTTATTATGATTGTTATTTATTATATATATGTGTGTGTGTGTGTGTTTTAGTCAATGAAGATGTAATTTTTTTAATTTTTTATTAAGGATGACTGAATAAAAAATAAAATAAAATAAATGCAAATCTAATACATGATCGATGATGTTAAATAAATTATGCAACCAACAGTACCAACATATGCATGATTAAATTTTGAAGTGTAACATTATTTCCTGTAAGCATTGATACTTTTCGGTGTTTGATCTTTAACCATTGTTGATATTATTAAAACCTCTTCAAAAATCCTTGTAGTAGTTGACACAATTTTGGGGCAATGTACTTTTTCAAAAGAAACAACATTGTAGAACGAACTACGAGACGCATGTGTCCCAACTTCTTATTCATAATCACTTATACAACAAGTTGATGGGCTTTTTCTATTCATCTTAATTATTTTCAGCCTCATGACGCTATCCTCTCTTCCCTCTATCAATATTCTCAATTTTCCTGAAAATAAAAGATTGTGATTCCTAATCCATTCGTTATATTTACACGCTCAAGAAAATAAACGCATATGCTGATAAACATACAATTACATTAGTCGAGTGGGTAACATTGTGTAAAAACTTAAACAAATTTAAAATTTAAAACAATTTTTGAAATAATAAAGACTACTCGTAGTCGTAATTTGAGAATAAAATAATATAAAAATAAATGATAAGTTAATTTCATTCTAATTCAATTATGAAAAAAGTTTAATGTATTATTTTCTTGAACAAAAAAAATCTTATAGAAATATTGTTTACCATATATAATTTGTTTATAAGAGTTTAATGTTTCTTATATATATTACAAATGGTATTTTTTTTCTTACATATATAAAAGTTTATGAAATTCATATATTCTTTTTTCTCTATTCTTTTCACATGAACCTATAAGGGTCTCGATGTCCCACACACTTTTATATATGTGTAAAAAATAAATTTATTTTTTACAACATGATAAACATTAAACCCTTAAAAATTAACTATATTTAATACATATCATGTGCACCGATGTGTTACCACGTATACAATAATTAAGAACCTGTCCACAAACATTGTCTTATATATGTATGAGGTAGCCTATTCAACTATAACTGACCAACTTTACTTACTCACATTTAAGTTCACTCTTCATAGCTAGTAATGGCGGATAGCAGCAACAAGAATAACGTTGACATCCACCGCCACCTGCACCGCACCAACCCCACCAAGGGTGGCTGGCATGCTGCTATCTTCATCATTTGTGAGTACATCTTGGTCGCCTCCATTAATCCATTATTCTTTTCTTGTTTCAATGTTTTCTTCCGATTTTATTCCATTTGATCAGCAATGGTTTTGAGGGGACGAAATTGCAATGTACGTTCTTCTGTGTAAATTACAATTATTAAAAATAAAAAAATACTCATAATTAAATGTTATATAAATTTTATGGAGATAATCATTATATATATAATCAAAAAGTAAGAAATAAAATTCACAATTAAAAATTGATATGGACCCGCTTAGCCCCTTCCTAACTCCATCTTTGAGAATTGAGAAAAATATTTCTGGTGTGACATCAATCCTAAAATGACACGTTTTCGGGTTTTAAAAAAAAATATAGAGTATTTTAAAAATTTACTTTCTCCTTATTTCATAAATTTTATTAAAATATCATGTATTTTTTCCCCCAAACACGAAGGAGAAACTTTAATTCCTTGAGAATTTTATTTATTTCTCATCTAATAATTTTTTTTTTCAGTTGTGGAAGTGGCAGAGCGATTTGCATACATAGGCTTGGCGGGAAATTTGATCACATACCTCACAAATGTGCTTCACGAACCCATCACAGAAGCCGTGAAGAACGTCAACACTTGGGTTGGTGTTTCTTCTCTATTCCCTTTGCTGGGTGGCTTTGTGGCCGATTCTTATCTTGGTAGATTCAAGACCATCATTCTGTCCTCTCTCATTTATCTCTTGGTAAATAGATTTCATTCTCATTCTTTCGCATTTTCTTGTGTTATTTTTTAAAAAAATTGGTAAAGTATTTTATCATTATTGGTATCTTTGAGTTTGACTAATTTTAAGGGGAAAATTAATTTTAAATTTTTTAAATAAAACTTTACTTATTATGCTTTGTTAACACAACAATCCACTTATCTTGAGTTATCTTCATTTTTTCATTAAACTGTATTGATCCCTACATCCAATGACCTTGAAACTTTTACAACTTAAACTAGACATCCATACCTCTAAAATGGTGCCTAGCTTACAAATTATGAACACCCACAACTCTCAATATAAATTTTGCAAAACTAAAACATAATCTGAAATTAGTTAGTCAAAGGATTTATCATTAAACTGTAGAGGCTGGAGCTGAAGCTACTCTTGTTCTTTAATTTTGAAACAAAATCGGTAAGTTCTAATAAGTCTTTCTTCCTTTAATGTTCTTCGGGGGCTTTTTGATCTTTTTTCCCTCCATCAATTAAGTAAGAACCATTTTGTCCCTCTCCCAAAACATTCCACTCATCTGCCCTTGTTTAATCGAGTAAATCACGGGCTTAATCAATTAAACAGTTAAAAAACGCAGAAAACACTAAACTCGTGATTTAATCGATTAAGCCACAATGCTTAATCGATTAAATAACGTCAGATACCCATATCTACATGTCTTCGCATCATTTCACTTATATTCATTTTTTACACCAAAATCTCTATCGTTTCTCATCTCTAATCCAACCCATCAAGAGGCTATTTCATCCCACCATCTCTAAAGGTTTAATCTTGTGAAATCATTGTCGTTGCATTTACATGTTCCTTTTTAGATGGGAAAATCCGAACCCAAACCCCAAAAATCTGAACCCTGGTATCAATTTCGTGTGCAAGATGAATTCAAATTCAAACACGTATGTTACAGTGATCTACCACGATGGGAGGCATTTTGAAGGTTCCAATGGTGTTCAATTTGAAGGAAAAACTAAAATGATAAAAATCAAACGGGCACTATATACAACGAGTTCAAGGGGAGAATTCACCAAAAATTGGGGTTACAAGGCAGCCAATGCATTCATCGAATGATAGCCAGGGTAGAGAGCATAGTTGGTAAGGATGCTATGTACTATATTAGTAACGATATTTGTGATGATGAAGATGTGGAATGTGTCATAGATGCAATTGCTGACCAGAAATTTCAAAATTTTATTGAGATATATGTTGAAGTTGATTGTGGTCAATCTTCATCTGCACCTACGCATACCAGTATGGGTTAATCAATTAAACCAGTGTTGTGAGCTATATGGATCTGTTTCCACGAGTTTTTTTTTATCCAATGAGTTTCTACACTCATAAGCTTAGTAAATATGACTTGGGGAAGGGATTTGTCGTCTCAAAATACATACGTGCTTTCATGATTCCCTAAAGTACAAAATTGTCGTTAAAGTTGGTTTTGACGTGCCAAAACATTATTTAGTGTTTTTAAATATATAAACTTAATTCATTCTGTATGTACTTGTATATTAGGACTAGTTCAAATCATTTGTTATAACTTCAACAACATAAACTAAATAAGCATCCATTTCATTACATCAAAGGTTCGGTACATAAATGAAATACACAAAGTAAATCCAAATTACACGAACAAAATAAATGCAGATAAACATCTCTAAATCTACTCCTCCGCCTCATCTGACTCGGTCTCAACCTCCTCCTCATCTGACACATGAGCCCCCTCCTCAGCTGCCTCCTCAGCCTCCTATCTTCGTGTAAGCTCTAGACAACCAAGCCTTTCCTCCAAGCCCTTGAATCGTCCCTGAATATGCTAAAACCTTTCATTCCTCTTTTCTATATTGCTCTTCCACCTCCTTTTCTTTTTAAGCTCCAACTTACGTATCCTTTTAAGTGTGGCATTGATGCCTTTCATGACATCACGAAAGGAAAATCCACCCTCAGGGTCAACAATATCCTCCATGTCACCATGATCATCCTCATCATCATCATCAGCCTCAGCCTCAACCATGTCTGCATCTGGGGCAACATCAGGGACCTCAATCTCACCCTATGTTGAGAACTGCCACACACCCTGCCTATTCTTGGAGATCTTGCATTGCTCCAATAGACGCTTTCCAAACTTGACATTATAGCTTGTGCAGCGCTTCAGCCGGCCAGTGTCCATGGGAACACCAAAATGTTCCAATATTCTCTGAACCAGAAAGGCAAATGGAAGTGCACCCTTATGTTTGGCTTTAACCATCATCCAGCAAATATAGTTCCTCCAATTCACCTGTACGCCATGACGGATAGCCCGCATAATAGGAATGTCACCCTCCAGCACCCTCGAATGATTGAATGCTCGTGGGAACAATATGTGGGTGATGACGTAGTGCAATATTCGGCTATCAACACTAAGCAACCCAGTAGTATAATGAAGAGTCCGCCCATGTCTGATATCAGGCTTCCTAGCCTCCTCCACAACATCACCCTGCACAAATCCAATAATTGCTACACTTATATCCGCATCATACTCCATTGTGGGATAACTATCAATGTCGTAGCCTAATAACTCCAGCCATATCAGAGTCGTCATGACTATGTCCACAACGCAGACGCGGGGCCTCAGCTCACCCTGTATGTAGCTGAGGTTATGGTAGAAAGCCCTCACCATAACCTTTGAATATGAACACGTGATCTTAGCCAACACCCTCAGATGTGCCCCCTTCAACACCTCTACTATGTCAAATCCCTCTACCATAAAGAATTCTATATCAAGTGATTTCAGCTGACAAAAGGGTCTGCTCAAAAAATCTCGCAAAAATGCAACATGCTCAGAAGGATCATCTTCAAACAAATAGCCAAATAGGAGGTCCACAGACTCAATGTCAGCCTCTTGTGGCCCTGAAGAAGAAGGACGGTCATGGCGTTGCTTCGTCCATCTTTTGCCATCGGTGTTCCTACCAGATCATCTGCGGGAAACCATGATAAGGGAAAGAAACCTAAAATAACACATGATCAGAAAATCAACAAACAAAAAACAAACATAATTGAAAAAAAACAAAAATTCAGAACTGAAATTCGTAGGAAAAAAAAATCCCAAAACCTATAAAACCTAGACCCTAAACCATGTACATTCATCAAAACCTAAACTAAACATGAATCAAACCGAATAATGCATAAAAGAGAGCCAAATCGAACCAAACCACTTTCAATCAATCAAAAGTTCATGAATCCAAAAAAAAAAAAAACCAAATTTTTTTTTTTGGAGGAAATCAAAAAATACATACTACTATGAGAGTGTATACACTTTGATGTTTATTTCTAAACCTACCACGTGATTTTGAGCTAAAATCCAAAAGGAGGAGGTTTTGGGTGTTTGTAATCGATTGGGATGTGTTTTATAACCCCCACCCAAAAATGGGATTTTTAAAAAAGGTTACTAACATTATTTAATCGATTAAGCATTGTGGCTTAATCGATTAAATCACAAATTTAGTGTTTTCTGCATTTTTTAACTATTTAATCGATTAAGCCCGTGGTTTAATCAATATCAATTAAACAGGGGTAAATGGGTGAAATGTTTTTTTGGGGGGGGGGGGGGGGGGTTATGGTTATTATTTAATTGACGGAGGAAAAAAGGGTCAAAAAGTCAAAATTTACGTATAAAATATGTTAACATGAAATAAATTAATCCAACGAATATACAAACTTTGGATTCAACAATTTTATTTTTGAATTTGACGTTTAAGTTTCACACAGACTGAGGCCGGTTTCACAAGTATGGACTATAATAAATATTATATGATATCAATATTTTTTTTTTTACTTTTCAATGATTGTATATTTAATACTAACTTATTTGAAATATAGCTGAGTCAGATAAAGTAAAAAATTTTTTTTTTTTAAAGTTATGAAAAGATAGAAACATAATAAATATTGTTGGATACCGTAATATATTTATTGGTGAAAACATGGATTGTATATTTAAAATTGACTGAATATGACAAATACTTAAAATATATAACGTAAAAGAATTAATCAAATAAACTTTTCAAAGTCCTAAGAACAATAATAAATATTCTAGGATACCATAAATTTTTCCTACTTTTTCATGGATTGTATATTTAATATTAACTTAATGTGACAATTAGCCGAGATAAATAAAAAACAATCAAATAAAATTTGTAGATTTATATTAAGGACATTACTTTTATAGCAATCGAATATTTTTGTCTAGTTTATTGACTTCAAGAAAAGTGTTGACATATAATATCATCATGTTCTGAATAACTGAGTTAGAGATTTTTTACCAACTCTAACATATGTTTTCTTAGTGTGACAAAAATTCTAAAAATGTTAAAAATATATATTTTATTGAAAATACATTGAGGACATAATGAAAAGTAGAGTCAAAAGCAATAAAGGTACATACTTTAAGGTTTTGATATTTATTATTTGGGTTCGCTTTTTCAATGCCAATGTAGATAACTTATTTATATTGAATTCAAAATGACGTCATTTTGAGACGAAAATCAAAGTATTTTTATAATTATAATTTATTTCAGTGTTATAATAGTTTTTTTCATTATAATTTTTTAATTTTTAAACCCAAAACGATGTCGTTTTGGAAACGAATGTAAATAATTTATCTACATTCACTGTAAAAACATTAATGCCTTATTCTTTTGCTATAAAAAATATCTCTTTATCAAATTTACATAAGAGTGAGTGAATTAATTTAACTAATTTTTCCTCTTTCTTTTTCTTAATGGGACCCATTCACTCTAAGGACCATGTTAAGTATTTGTTTCTTATGCTTCCTATGTGCAAGTGGTGCAAGAAGATATTAGTATTTTAAAACAAAAATACGATACTTGCAATATTCTATGTTAAAAAAAAAAATCTCATTGTTCATATTGTAGAAGGCCATGCATGCATCGGCGAATAATTTAACATATATTTTTCTGTTTGTTATAAAAAGAATCTAATGTCACATAGCATTAAATGTGATTAGTTGAATAGCTAGGTAGTAATTGAAATGTTTTGTTAAAAGAGCAATATATAGATTGAACTGCATAATTTCGAAAAATCATTCTCAACTATTAAAATGTTCTAATGTTACATAAACATTACATGTAGGGCATGATTTTCTTGACACTATCAGTCTCTGTAGTGAAGCAAAAGAAGCTATTTTTCATAGCTCTTTATGTGCTGTCCATCGGTGACGGAGGACACAAGCCGTGCGTTCAAACATTCGCCGCCGATCAGTTTGATGAGAACACGGCAGAGGAGAGAGATGCCAAAAGCTCATTCTTCAATTGGTGGTATTTGGGCATTGTATTTGGCTCAACTTCTGCAGCGTTCCTTATAGTATATTTGCAGGTAATTTAGTTATTCAAAATCTCTATTTGTTTTTCGGTTTTGTTTTGTTTTCTTGATATTATTATGATAACGATATTTTCATATTGATATTTGCGTTAATAGATTCAATTTTTTGTCTTAATCTATATTAAATCTTTTACAAAATAATAAAAAGGTACATTCTATATCGACATAATACATTTTGGAGAACAAGTTTTGTATCTGAATAAAATTCAAATTACCAAAACACAGAATATGGGTATGCCTTTGACTAATCGACTCTTTTTGTTTATTTATTAATTTAATATATAATTTACTGATTTATTTATTCATCACTATATTTTATATATTTTTTTAACAGATACAATTGTCAAGTTTTATAGTAGCTCTCTCTCTCTCTCTCTCTCTCTCTCTCTCTATATATATATATATATATATATATATATATATATAATTAATACTTTATGCTTTTTAATTAATTTTTTATTATATTTTCTACAAAAACAATAGTATATTGTATTCAATTTGATTAAATAGAATTTATATTCAAGTTAAGTTTTAATTTATTATATTTAATTTCCTTATTCACATCTAATTAGTAGCAAAATCACCCAACTTTTTACCAAAAAATAAAATAAAATACCCAACTTTATTCCATTAAAAAAATTGATTAAACAAATCTATCAAAATCATTTCACTCCATAATGAGAAATTTTAGTAAAATTAAATTTTTCAATCAAAAGTAGTTAATGAGAATTGTGTGTTAAATATTTTAGATGTTCAAAATTCTATATATTTTTCATTTTGAAAAAAGGGAAAATCATTATTCAGTATATACTTTTGATGTTAATCTCTTGTTAAGAAAATTACTTTTCTGTATAACTACTATTCTTTATGAAATTATAAAGTGTTATCTATTTTGTTAAAAAAAGATTAGTACAAAATGTGAAAAGAATAACTACTATTTATAACACTAGTTATATTTTTTTTTTTGGGTACACTATAACACTAGTTATATTTCATTGTAACCTGTATGAAACAAATCTCACAACGATAGAACAACAAAATCATGACCTACTTGAATATGCAAACTGGTAATAAAAGAGAATCTGAATTTATAATTGAAATGCTAAAAAACACAGGACAACGTTGGATGGGCTGTGGGGCTTGGAGTACTAACAGGGGTGTTGGCAATAGCATTGGCAATGTTCTTGCTTGGAATCAAAAGGTATAGAAAGGAAAGCCCAAAAGGGAGCCCATTCACCAGTATTGCCCAAGTTTTTGTGGCTGCATTTCGTAAGTGGCACATGAAGGTCACACCTAACCAAGAGAATTATTGGCATGACCATGATCATGGTGGCTCCCTTCAAGGAAAATTTTGTACTTTGGTCCACACTGATAAATACAGGTGACTTTCACTCTAAATCTCTCTATATTTTGGTTTTTCTTTACCTATATCATAGAACTTTTAATTTGTTTTAAAACATTACTTAAATTATGGTTCGAATAATATTAGACAACTGATCAAAGTGGAGAAAGATTTTTTGATTCCGGTGTAACATTTAGAAGTTTTGTTTCTCATCTCAGCCGTTGATTTTTGTCCATCCAATAGTTATCATTTATTTGAAAATAATAATTAATTAATTGGTATAACTCAATAAACTATAACCGTTAGATGGATGAAAATCAATGGTTAAAATGAGAAGTAAGACTTCTTTTTTAGAGATATTTCAATCGGTTCATCACTTCGTGACTAGTCCGATTCTGGGTGAGTTCCGGAATTAAGGTTAAACCCATTCCAAAGACGATACTGAGGAGGATCGAACACATGCTACAAATCAAAGGTTAAGATGAGGAGTAAGACTTCTAAATCTTATACTAGAGTCAAAACATCACTCCCCGATCAAAGTTGTCTTTCCTATATTTAAGCTAATTATTTTAAGATATATATTATAATACAATTATTATATCTTTTAATATCTTGAAGTATCTTAGATGATCCCGTCAATCTCTTGCTCCAACTCTAGCCTGTGATCTTATATGGCCTCATCTCTTACCATTAGGTTATAATGTTGAGAATGAATTCTCCCATATCTTGTTTTCACATGACCATGTCATAATGTTATTCACTTAACAAGTGACTGAGCCAAAAAAAATTAGACAATGCCAAACTTTTTCTTTTAATATATAAAGTGGGCAAAAGCCCAAAACAAAGCTCAAGGCCTCAGAGGGGGCCTAAGGAGGGAGATAGCATAGCTCTCAAAGGAGTTTTCGAGAAATAATTGTTGCATTTTGAGGGGGAACTCAGACGAATTCATGATACTTGAAAAACCATCTGCAGAGCGTCTTGCCAACCAGTTGGAACATTTGTTTGCTTCCCTTCGGATATGATGAAATTCTAAGCTTCATTAACGTAATCCCAGCCTTTATCCTCTAAGGGCTTTGTTTGGGAGTTTGGAGAGAAAAGGAAAGAAGGAGATTCAAGGGAGAGGGAGGAGAAGGAAGATAAGAAAATTGAAGGGTATTCCGTTCCCTTATTTGTGAGTTAAAAAAATGACAAGGGAGAAAAAAAGAGGGTTAATGAGATATTTTCACAATTTTACCTCATTTTTAATAAATATAATTATTATATTTTACAAATTAAATTAAACTTAAAATTTCTAACAAAATTATTTTTGTACTTTTCACAATATTAAAAAATCATACTTTCGATGAAATTTCTAATTTGCAAATGATGAAAATTTCATCACAAAATTATTTTTTCGTCAGAATACTTTTCGTAGAAAAGCGATGAAATTTTTTCTACGATAAAATTTTTCACAAAAATAAATTTTCTATCAAAAATTTTGACGAAATTTAGTTTTCGTCAAAAATTTTGACGAAAATGATTTCCTCCATCAAATGTTTTAAATAAAAAAAGAATTCCGTCAAAAATTTTGATGGAATGTTTACCGTTCAAAATTTCGATGGAAATGTGTTATGACAAAAATTTCGATGGAAATTATTTTGTCAAAATTTTTAAGGGAAATTATTCATTCAAAACTTTCAACTAAATATAGATTATGTAAAGAATTTTGACAGAATATTTTATTCGTTAAAATTGTTTATTGAAATATTTTTCGTTAAAATTTTTTACGAAAATATTTTCTCTCAAAATTTTTTGACAGAAATGTGTTCTGTTTAAACTTTTGATGGAAATGTGTTTTATCAAAAAAACTTGACGGAAATATTTTTTGTCGAAAATTTTCGATAGAAATCTTTTTGTCAAAAAGTTTAACGAAAATGTTTTTGTTGAAAACTTTCGCAAAATTTAAATTCTGTAAAGAATTTTGATGAAATTTTTTCCATAAAATTTTTTCGATGGAAATGTGTTTCGTTAAAATTTTTTATGGAAATATTTTTCGTCAAGATTTTTGATGAATATGTTTTTCTGTGAAATATTTTGACGAAATTTAGATTCTATAAAGAAATTTGACAAAAAAATTTTCCGTCAAAATTTTTTACAGAAATGTTTTAGTTAAAAATTTTGAAGGAAATATTTTTCGTCGAAAATTTTTGAGGAAAATTTTGAAGGAAATGTTTTTCGTAAAAAATTTAGACGTAATTGTTTTACGTCGAAACTTTTCGATGGAAATGTGTTTCATCAAAATTTTGGACGAAAATATTTTCATTGAAAGTTTTGACGGAATTTAGATTTTATCAATAATTTTGATTGAATTTTTTTCCGTAAAAATATTTATGTCAGTGATTATGGCAAAATTTGGTATCGTCTCTAATTTTGACGAATTTTTTTTTACGTATATGATTTTCATAAAAAAATTTCACTATTTTTAACGAAATATTTTTCGTCGATAAATTCTGTCGGTATTTGAGACTTTTCTAATAATGTCACATTTAAAAATGATTCACATTTATGTAGTTTTCACATTTTCCCCTAAACCCCCTAAATTTGGGAAACTTTAATTTGAAGAAGAAGGAGGGTTTTGGAGGGTTTAGTAAAAATTTCCAATTCTTTCCCCTCCTTTTTTTAAATTCACAAACAAGGGAAGAGCTTTCTAAAACCCTCTCTTTCCTTTCCTTCCCCTCCTAAAACCAACTCTCAAACAAAGCCTAAAACCAAGTGCGGCAAAGAGATGGTAGAAGAGGTCGAATTGATCATAGTAATCGCTTTAAGAGAGTCGCCTTCGACTTTTAACTTCCCGAATCCGAGTTTCTAGCCCAATTCAAGGCCATTTAGAGCTCCCCAGAGCTCAGCATGAAGAGGATTAATCCCCTGGGCATTTCCAAAACCTCTCATTTCCTTTTCCAAATTTATCTCGTAATACACCATCACACCTTGCTCTAGAAGGTGGGAATTTGATTGAACCATGGAAGTTCAGTTTGATCCAACCCCTTTCAGGAGGGTGCAAATTTTTTTTAGCATGTGTCAAATAATAAAACTCATGAAATCTTCAATTTTTTCTCTCATTTTTTATGCAGCAAGAAATTCAATGACACTAAAATTTTGAGAACTAGCCAACGTCATGGCTAGAGCTGGCAAAACGGGCTCGGCTAGGCGGGCCAACCCGCCCAACTCGCTAAACGGGGCAGGGCGGGCTGAGTTTTTCAACCCATCTCAAAAGCGGGGCGGGCTCATTTTTTGGCGGGTTGATGGCGGGCCGAGGCGGGTCAGTGTAAAATAGGCTCGAGCTGGCGGGCCAACCCGCCTAACGGGGCGGGCCGGGCTGAGTTTTTGAGCCCACTTCCAAAAGCGGGGCGGAGCGGGCTGACTCATTTTTTGGCGGGTTGATGGCGGTGTGGGGCGGGACGGGGCGGGCCGCCCACTTTGCCACCTCTAATCATGGCCTCAGCTGGTCTCAACGTGACTTCGCCACTACACATTCAACTACTAACATTTTAAAGAAGTTTGCAAAACAAGAAAAAGAAATTGTCACTTTAATTACTCATGGTTGATCTGCATGGATGTACGGCTAAGATGTTCTATATGGCATGATAATGTGAAACCAAAAAAATAAGAGGATCTATTTCCTATAATTCTACTTTATTTTGTTGTAATATATTTAATAATAACAAGTTAAAACTTAGTAAGCTTTAACTTAAGAGGAACTATACTAGAATATCTCATAAAATATTATTGTATTTTAGAATATCTTAAACTATCTTGAATGATCTTTCAGGAATAGTTCCCATATTTCATGATTTTTTTCTTATTTAATTAGGATTAAAAATCTAATATGACAATAAAGAATTAGTGCTTAATTTGTCTTTTATAATATATCATAATATATAATATTACATCATTATATATAAGATAATGAATTGTGAAGTATCAATTATCCCCACTTTATTTGAATGTGACCAAAAATAAATAAGCCCCAAAAAAGTTAAATACATATCTTAAATATTGAAACACATGACATAGGGCAATGAGCTCGTTGTGTACCATGTACTCAAGGACTTCTGTGTATGATTTAGAGTTGATACTAACATTGATTGAGGACTTCAACTTTTTCTTTGCCTTATGGTTCTTGACACATTTTTATTACCAATGCATTTCATTATTTCTTTTGACAAAAAAATTTGAAATTACTACAGATTTTTGGACAAAGCAATGATCATTGATGAACGCGATGCTTCAAGCCAAACCAAAGACCCTTGGAGACTATGCACGTTGACTCAAGTTGAAGAAGTGAAGCTTCTCGTTCGTCTCATCCCTATATGGCTAAGTTGCTTAATGTTCACCGTAGTCCAAAGTCAACTAGGCACATTTTTCACCAAACAAGGTAGCACAATGAATCGTTCAATAGGACCACACTTTCAAATTCCTCCAGCATCACTTCAAGGCATTGTTGGAATCATAATCCTTTGTGCTGTTCCAATCTATGACAAAGTTTTCGTCCCAATTCTTAGAAAGATAACTGGGCTTCACTCTGGCATAACAGTGTTGCAAAGGATTGGAATTGGTTTAATTTTGTCCATACTGGACATGGTTGTTTCAGCACTTGTGGAAGCCAAAAGGGTTCATGTTGCTACAAAGCATAATCTCTTAAACAATCCCCAAGCAGTTTTACCAATGAGTATTTGGTGGCTACTACCTCAATACACTATTCTTGGAATTGCTGATGCATTCACGATTGTTGGACTCCAAGAATTGTTCTATGATCAAATGCCAGAGACAATGAGAAGCTTGGGAGCTGCAGCATATATAAGCATAGTTGGAGTTGGAAGTTTTGTTAGCAATGGTGTTATAATTGTTGTGGTCGCAATTACCTCAAGAGCTGGTGGAAAATGGTTGGGAAACAATATCAATAGGGCACACCTTGATTATTTTTATTGGGTGCTGGCTGGGTTAAGTGCTCTAAATCTATGTGTTTATTTGTTGATCGCCAAAGGTTTTGTGTACAAAAAACTGCATGTGACTGAAACAAGAAAAGCAGATGCATGACATGCTAAAAAAGACATTTTGATTTTGTAATTTTGAATGCTCCCAAGACGAGCATCTTCCCAGATGGACCTTGCAATTTATATGATATCAACTGTTATAGCACCTTGGATATTAATAACGTTGCTTCTGAAATTCTTCACATTTGCATAAATTATTTTATTTGAGGTGAGAACAATAGAATGAGCTACTTACCTTGTGCGCTATACGTAATGCTAATCTTATATATATATATATATATAGATAGATAGGATCATTTGACACCAGTGTCAAATTTCAAATTTGACACCTCATCTGATAGCCGTTAGATCAAAAAAGATCAATGGTGTCACATGCTTACAAATCAGAGTCGTTGATCTTTTATGATCTAACGGCTATCAGATAAGGTGTTAAATTTAAAATTTGACACTGGTGTCAAAGGATCCTGCCTCATATATATATATATATATATATATATATATATATATAGAGAGAGAGAGAGAGAGAGGTAGGATCATTTGATACCGGTGTCAAATTTGAAGTTTGACACCTCATCTGAGAGCCGTTAGATCAAAAAAGATCAACGACTCTGATTTGTAAGCATGTGGCACCATTGATCTTTTTTTATCTAACGGCTTTCAGATGAGGTGTCAAACTTCAAATTTGACACCGGTGTCAAAGGATCCTACATATATATATATATATATATATATATATATATATATATATTATATATTATATGATTGGGACATTTTGACTCCAGCGTAAGATTTACAAGTCTTACTCTCCATCTTGAGCGTTGATTTTCGCTCATCTAACGGTTATAATTTAGGAAGTCATACTAATTAATTAAATATTAATTATATTATAAATGATAACCGTTGATTTTCGTCTATCAACGGCTAAGATTGGGAGTAAGATTTCTAAGTCTTACTCTGGAATTAAAATAACTCTAACACACACACACACACACACACACACACACACACACATATATATATGAGATAGGATCCTTTGACATCTCATCTGAGAGTCGTTAGATCAAAAAAGATTAATGGTGTCACATGCTTACAAATCATAGTCGTTGATCTTTTTTGATCTAATGGCTCTCAGATGAGGTGTCAAACGTTAGATTTAACACTGGTGTTAACTCCTACCATATATATATATATATATATATATAAATGATCAACTTAAACCGGTGTAAGACTTATTACTCTTACACAAAATCTTAACCATTGATTTGTGTACATCTAATGATTGTGATTTATTGGGTTTGTTATGGACCTACATAAGGCCCATATGCCTAAAAGGCCCAATGAATGGCAGACACTTGACAGCTATACAAGAAGATGATTGGGCCCATGAAGAAAGGGGTGTAGATTGTTCAAACCCTAAGGTAAGCTCTATAAATAATAGGTAAAAGATCACAGGTATGTATTAATCTCTCTCTTACTATTATGTTGTCACTATGCACACACACCATCCCATTGGCTAAAGCGTTATAGTTGTGTACAGTGATTCACTACCCTTAAGGTATCTAATTCATATATACCTAGAGAGCACTAAATCCCATATTGATCTACTAGCCTAAGGCTAGATATCTCTGTCACATAGACAGAACATTGGCGCCGTCTGTGAGGAACGAGAAATTTCAAATCCCACGAAAAACGTGGCACGCACCACCAGAAGTGGTTATTGACAACCACCATTGCAGAATGCTGAGCCATGGCAATACCTGGTAATACAGGAGGATCCAGCTATAACACCTTGTATTTCTAAATCATATAATTATATTTAAAATATGGATTAAGGGGTAGGTAATTTGACAAACACGTAATCCTAGGAAAGAAAATTTGAGTAGCAGGTCTCAAATGGAAAAACTAACCCTGAAAATGGACTTAGAACGAAAAATTGAGTGTTTAGGCAAGTTTCTGGAAAAGTGATGAATAGTGATTTTACCGGGTAAAAATATTACGGTACAGTTGCACCGTAAAAAGTGTCAAATGAATTTTGAGCTCTAGGTTTGGAAATAAGTTATAAATGGAACATAGGATTAGGAATTATGATTTCTTATGGAAATTGATTGAAATTAGGGTTTTTGGAGAAGCGTGCCCACAGTGCACATAACAGCTTAAAACTGTGATTTCACCGAACGACCAGAAAACTCTGGATTCATCTGACCAAGAACAATTAAAAGACAATGGTTAATGTTAAAAATTGAAGTTTCTAAATAGTCTAGGAATTAATGGACGTTTAGTGGAGTAAGCGGGAGATTTGAATTAGTTTGAATCGCGTGAGGCGGCGGTGAGACCTGTAAGAACCGCACCGTTAAATTAGGAAATTAAATTAATTAAATGTGAAATTAGGAAATAATTCTATAATTGACCCTAATAATTATGAGAAGACGTAAATAATTATAGTAAGTCAATAATAAATTGGAAAGTCGCTTTTCTGATGAAAAATGCAGATACTGGTTCTGCTCCACGGTATAAATGCGTACCGATGAAGTATCCCGGAAAATTATAATAAGTGTGAGAATATTCTTAGAATAAAATATAGGACTAGTATAACAAGTTTCAGGTCTAAATAATGAGAACTGATGTCAGAACTGATACCGGCTTCTTAAAAGCGCGTACCGGCAAAGTGCTGCGAAAAATAAAATAAAAACATAACAAATCCGAGAAAAATGACTAGGTTCAGAATCCCAAGTTTGAGATTAAACAATAAGCGTAGCTATTAGTGCTAATACAGTGTTTTAAGTCTAAACGGGCTATAAATACCCTTTGGCCCAAAACCCTAGGCCATGTTTGAGTTCCTACGTGACTCTTATTTCAAATTCTGAGTGCCTCTTGCCACCCTCTCCTCCTTTCAAAAAATTGAGCTTTCTTCCATGGAAAACCTTGAACTAATCACCTTTCTACCTAGTTGCTTCATCTAAACACTATCACTAGGTGTGAACCATCCTTGTGTGGGAGAGAGGCTGTTGTGTGCTGAGTGTTGTGGCTGTGGGTGGTGGTTTTGTGGGTTAAGTTGGTGGTCCTCTTTGGTGAGAGCCATTTCATTGTCTTTGGAGGCTTCAAGGAGCCACCTTTTGGTGTAAAAGACCCATCTTTGTATTGCATTTTCGTGGCTTGGCAAAGTCAGAGCCTTGGTGTTGTGTTGGAGACTTAGAATCTGTCACATTTTCGGAGTTTTGAACCTTGGAGGTAAACCATGATAACCTCTTTGGTATTTTCATGATTTAAGCTTGTTTAATCCTTTAAAAAGTAAAACTTTGATCATTTGAGTTAAAGACTGTGTTTCTGAGTCTTAAACATGTTAATGAACATCTGTTTATGGAGTCATTGGACCCCAAATCGAGTTTGGACATTTAAAATGGGACTTGTGCAGAAGATGCACGAAATTCTGCATTCTGTCTAATAAGTATTTGACTACTTTTCGTGTAGTATTCGAATACTTATCCCTTGGTAGTCGAATACTCCTTGCAAGAGTATTGAGATACTTTATTGGGAAGAAAAGTATTTGGATACCGTTGAATAAGTATTCGAATACTGGGTAGTATTCGAATACTGTGGTAATTGTATTCAGATACCTGGAGGTATTGGGATACTAGGGAAAAAGTACTCGGATACCGTGTGGTATTCGAATACTTAAGTGAAAGTATTCAGATTCTTTCTGGAGATATAGAGTATTTGAGTACTCATCGAGGAGTATTCCAATACCTCCTGCAGAAATGACTTAAAATGAGTTGGAAAGCTTTAATCACTTAATAGAATCTTGAGCAATGATTATTGATGATTAATTATTGTATAAACAGATTGTGATTATACTGTTTGTGGGTATTGAGCTAGTGTGAGCTTGGCTTGGATAGTTAGCTTGCCAGGTAAGCTTTCGTGTCCTCGGTTTAGCTATTGTTGGTTCCACCATACCCCATGGGAGGATGGTTTATATGCATGACGTGTTTTCATGTATTTATATTTGAAATGTTGTTGAGCTGTTCGTGCAAGTGCCTTATAATATGCATGTGTTGTTTCACCTAGACGGTAAGCCTGTGTATGTAGGAGACATGCCATAGGGTGATTCTGTTGGTGGGTGCAAGTGGCATCTTGCACAAATGTAGATAATAGACGTATGTAAATCCTGCATTTCTCTGGCCAGTAGAATAGTTGACACGCATGACATGATTATTCTGCTGCATTGCACTGATTTTGGAACTTACATTATATTACTGCTTTTAGAACTTATATTGCACATGTAAGTGAGCTTGGGAAGGAGAAATCCTTGAGGACCCCTTGCCTTACTGAGATTTCTGTTTAGAGATCTTACCCCACGTTTGGGGCACATATTTCAAGTTCAGGTAACTCGGGGGTTGAGACCTCGGGCGGTAGGAGGCCGGAGCTGAGTTGATATTTATGCGTTATGATGTTATGCTTGGATTATGCTTGGGTGCTAACCTGCTTTATATTTATTATTTTGTTGTTGTTGAGACTCTGTTGGACTTTGTTGCCTTATTTGGTGAGCACGAGGGTTACTCATGCCACGTTGATTGACTATGTATTTTTTTGAATTAGAGTTGTATTAATGTATTAGGATTATGGTACGGACTACGTGTTGTAGTACCGTGACTTAGATACTCACACTTATTTATATATTGAGGTTACTCAGTGTATTTAGCCTTATTGCAATTTACATACAAGCGATGTTTTATGAAAAGGATTAAGTAATCAACTTGGTAATATTAATGACATCATAATTGAAAAAAAAAAAGTTATTCCGTATTTTTAACTAAGCGTGGCTTAATACGATGACATATTTACAAACCGGGTATACACAGGGTGTTACAGGACCCACCCCACTTAAGTGACTTATGCCACATGGCCAAATCACTATTTCATCATCCTCTTCCTCCCATTCTCTCTCTTCAACCCCCGGCCCTCCCTCCCATTTATGCAAGTTTTTCTTCAAATCTCCTCCTCTTCCAAACACCATCAATACTCCACCAAAACACAACTTTCACTACA